TCCCGGGATAGAAGGAATCAGAGGGGGCAGACTGATCCCCAGAGGACTTCTCTTGCTGGCAGGAGAGTAGTCGTTGCCGTTGACTGGCCCTGCTGCCACGGGAGAGAGCAGGAAGCCCGTGAGAGCTGCCAAAGAGATCTTAGAAAGCATCTTGAGTCAATTGAGCTGCTGGTAATTATTTGTTGGAATCCAAGAAGTCTGATTTTTGAAGATGTTCCCAACACCAGACTACGGGCACTTATCTATTCTTCTTATACTCCATCGCGAGCTGCAATAAGGGCCGTCTGACAGTCAACCGCTTCTCTTCTTTGGACGTGAGCTCACTAGACAATCACACCATGAAGCCAATAAACCTCATCATCTACGCTATTGTCGAAGGATAGTATGCCGTGAGCCAGAACGATAATCAAGATGCACCCAACAGACCTTCTCAGAGTCATGCAGCGTTGGAGATATGCCTGAACATGTCTTTGCCAAGAAGTCGGGACTCACACCTTGCCTATCACAATCCAGAGATCCTTAACCTCTAGCTCATCGTGGCCACATCTTTTTCCTCAAGAGGGAAGACTGTAATGTCGCGATCGCTTGGAGCACGGAAACTTGGGCGCCCGGCGAGCTCGACGTGTAGAGCACACTTCTTGACGATGTCTTAACTTTGTGTCAAGCAGCGCTAGTGTGGCCCAGTGCTTCGGCATTGGAGGGAGAAGTAAGCTTAACGAATGTCAAGAAGTTGATCGACACTGACGGCGACCACGCGTAAAGCCATGTGAGATGAAGAGTTGCAGATCATCTCTCAACTGGACGACGTAGGTGTTTTGTTTGTTGGATTGACAGGGGCGAGATGTACCAAACTCAGACATATATCGATAGTACCGGATGGCATCATATGTAACGAATAACACTTCGAGTTCATTTAAGTATTTGGGACCGATAATCTCATTTCCGCATAAGATCTCAGCGAGGCTGAACGGCAAGGGACGTTGAGGCATGCAACGGGGGCGCCTCTGGCTCTGCTGCTGCGTCGGGCATATCAAACCTTAACTTCTCTAGCTTGGCAGAACGGGTTCCAGAGAAGATGAACCAGGTAGGACGATGGCGATCTTGGACAGTTTGGTAGAGCTACGATCGAATAGCGTGTTCGTGCTTGGCTAGTATGCTGTTCGGGTTGAACAGCCATCCTCAAGGCATTTACACACTACTGGTCTCAACGTTCAGAAGATAGTAGACTGATTGGGATTGCGAAAACTCACTATGTCAGAAGAAAGGACTGACCTGGGATTGCTTGTCAACACATCCTCTGCCATGCTATTTCTATATCTTGTTTGAATTGTGAGAAAACGTCTGGTCTCTTGAGCATACGGTCAAGGAGAGAAACGCGTTGAAGACTGGGTCTTTCTGTCATATTTTTTGCCATGTGAATTGACATGATCTTGACATTTCAGATGATTTAACTCTATTTGAACCCAGATCACGACTTTGCCCCGGCCTTGTAACGCAAAACTTGGGCCGGCCTGTGATAAAGAAGATTACCAAAAAGATGCGGGTAACATTCAAGCCAATATCTGCAGTAAGACAAGGTTAAAAGTAAATTACCGTAGTCTACCGCGTCAAAGTAAGCTTCAGTCAGGCTAGTTAGATGCCGTCGATGGGGATCAGCGCCTAAGCAGCCTTTCCCCCACGCTTTCCCACGATGTCGTTATTTTCGGACATATGTCGAATGGCCGGGGTCCAACCTAGCGGCATGCCCGATTCAAAGACAACTGCAGTCGATCATTTAGCCAATATCACACCAACACCCATCGAACACGCATATGCACTCTTGATTTTTGGGGGAAGATGCCTGTGAGACTCGAATTGGGAAAGTCAATAGTGTCGACCGGAAAGCAACGATGCCGCTGAATGGTCAATGTCGTCATCGCGAACCGTTGCTTCTGCAACTGCAACCTCAACGCCATGATTACTCGATGCGTTGAACGTGATAGTAATGAAAATTCCGCCATCGCGTCGAAGGAAATGAAGTATGTCCTTTCGAACTTGGGGGCGGTGTTCTAAAGGTTAGACGCAGTTATAAATATACTTTACAGATTGTCTTCCCTGCGCTGTTTCGTTCCATCTCTCACAATCTGCACCTCCTCATAAGTCGGTTCTTCATTATCTGATAGAATGAGAATACTTCAGATCTCCGTGACAGGACTCATTGGCCTCGTGGCCATCACAAGTGCCTCGCCCCAAGTGGCGAAGAGAGACGCTCAATTCAATATTGGACAGCCCATCGATGCCAATGGCAAAGGTGCCCCGATCCTGGGTAAGTGACACGGAGCTCACCTTCTCGATGCCAGACCCAACTAATAAAATGACACAGGCGGCACCAATAATGCAATTGACAGAGAGAATCCGGATAATCTCGGCCGGCAGTCCACTGACAGCGGCGTGGTGCCGAACCTGAAATGGAGATTCTCTGATTCCAAGACCCGTATCTTCAACGGAGGCTGGGTCCGCGAGCAGGTCATTCAGGACTTGCCTCAGAGTCACGATATTGCAGCCGCCCAGCAGCATATCAAGCGTGGAGCAGTAAGAGAGCTGCATTGGCATAAGGTTGCGGAGTGGGGGTTTGTGTACTCTGGCTCGATTATCATCGGAGCCGTCGGCGAAGACGGAAAAAGTCAAGTTGAACAACTCAACTATGGAGATATTTGGTAAGACCCAAGCTGAGAAGTCAAAGAGCACTGCATACTAATATTGGTCCTAGGTATTTCCCCAAGGGTGCTGCTCACTATGTTCAAGGAGTTGCTGAAGAGTCCGAGTTTCTCTTGGCCTTTGACGAAGCCGACTTTGATAAGATTGGGTTGGTGCTTCCTCTTCTATATGACACTCGTGTATGGAACGAGTCAACTGACACTCAAAAGAACCACCTTCAACATTGTCGACTGGCTGGCCCATACCCCAAGAGACATCTTGGCCAGGAACTTTGGCGTCAATGCTTCCGTCTTTGACAAGCTACCCGCCACGAACCCATACATCCTGAACGGAACGGTGGCAACCACGAACGTGACGGTTCCCCCGGGGCAGTACCTCTCCGGCAACAGTTCCTTCGTCTACCGCACTTTCGAGCACCCACCTGAGAAGGTTCCCGGCAACGGCGGCGAGTTCAGAAAGATTGACTCGACCAACTTCCCCATTGCCAAGACCATTGCTGCCACGTTCGTCACACTGAAGCCTGGCGGGCTGAGGGAGCTCCATTGGCACCCCAACGCCGAAGAATGGCTCTACTTCCACAAGGGCAAGGGCAAGGCGACTGTGTTTATCGGAAGTGCAGCGTCGAGAACCTTTGACTTGGAAGCGGGTGACACAGCGGCTTTCCCGGACAACAGCGGGTGAGTATATCATTCATCTCGAGGGAGTGGAGTGTGTCGTTGCTAATTCGTTGACTAGACACTACATCGAGAACACCTCTGACACGGAAGACTTGGTATGGATTGAGCTGTACAAGTCTGACAGAGTCGTGGATATTTCTTTGACCCAGTGGCTCGCTCTCACACCGCCTGAAGTAGTCGCGCAGACTCTAAAAGTGCCGCTGGAATTCGTCAAGAGCCTCAAGCAGGAGAAGCAAATCCTCATCTGATCAGTGTGATATCTGCATGAGAGGGGCGATTGGCTACGGTTTCGGTGTGATATAGGTCTGCTTCCTCTTATACTCTATTTGATCTGTTCACAATCAATGGCTCAATGAGCAAAAGACAGATGAGCTATGGACTAGGAGAGATGAGATCAATTGAAGAAGGCCATAAAGAGGAAGAGAGATATGCTATACCAGAAAGATATAGTGTGAAGAAGCTATTGTTGTTGAAAATCTCAATGGCGACGAAGCTAGCGTTGGAACAGTTTTACTTCTTAGGACCTATTACTTAGTTGTGTTGTAATTACTAGTTCCCCTCAAACCATTATCGACCATGGAAACTCAATTGCTCACAGAGCTACGCAGAGGTGCAGGTGGGTGGGCAACCACCACGAGGTCACGATGACATTCAGCGACTCATGTTCTGCACTTGAACCTGCAAAGCAACGAAAGCTTGATAAGCGGGGAGAGACGGAGATGCTAGGGAAATAAGCGCCTCAACGCCAAAAATCCGAAAGCATCTCCAACTCCATCATTTCCCCAATTGAGAGGTAGACGGGAGACGGGAACGGAAAATTCGGTAGGATGGCAGCACGCGTTATGCAGGCAACCCCCGGCGGGCCAGAGCCGGAAACTCTATCAGCGAACTAGCACAGCAGCTCTCTGGTCAAGCCGTACCAGTGTGCGATTACTTATGTCGTGTGGGCAATGAGGGGTGGGAAAGGTTATGGGCCGTCAACTCAACCCATGCGAGTAGCCTAGAACACTCCAATCACGCGGAATCGTATGATTGGGGATAGATTGTGTGGTGGTCAATGAAGCCATTGGCGAAGAGGAGGAGGGTTGCAGAAAAACATCATCCCATTGACCGCTCGCGAGCTTTTGGCCGTCCGCCATCACAGCGAACCTTCCCTGGGTCGCTTCGTCGTATCATGAGCTGCCTCGGCGAAGCGCGGCGGAAATGGAACGGTCTCCTTCGATTTTGGAGGCATGCTACATGGTGGTGTGAAGGAGGAATAAGAAACGCTGGGACGATCGGCCAAGCCACCCCTCGTTCGGTCTGGTCTAAGCAGGTAGACGGCAGTTGTTCCGAAGCAATCACGACTTGGCCCAGAATTGAGACCACGTTGGGGGCGGAATGCGGGGAGGCAGGACTAGAGACACTCGACACAGTGGTTTCCAGACAGCATCGAACTTTCCAGAGTCCAGACGACGGACTACGTGTGTGACTGTTGGACGAGGATGGGCTCTAATGTCGTTGTCGATTCTCCCTGACTGGTTTAGTAGGGGTGGCAGCTTTACGCCACTCCGATGCCTTCTCAGTGCTAACAGACCCGGGGGATCATCCCCTCTATTGGCTAGGCGTCGCACCTGGGATTACCATTTACCAGTCAAAAGGCTGATAAGGCATCGAGATGAAGGCTCTGGAGGTCGCCATGACGGGTAAAAGGTCAGGGAGCTTGGGTCCGGTTCTCTTAATAGTGTCGACCGGATATGCGACCCGCGGGTCGGCCGCAGGTACCATGGACGGCAGATAGGACTGGAAGCCAACGAAAGACGAGGGAGCATTGATACAGGTCGATCTGATGACCGTGCTCGCCCATCGAGACCCTGAAGGATCGCCAGGGAACCGGTCAGGGCCATTAACTTGTTCTTCTTGGATTTTATTTGCCTCTGGGGAGACTAAGCGATCTCTGGTCCAAGAATTGAGTCGCATTCTCTGTGTGGCAGTGCTTGAACACGACCGACACGGCACGAGGGAAAGACGAAGCCTGGAGATCGTGGAGAAACAGCTCATCCCTTCTGTATGGGGTCGGGGCCGAGAGGTCAAGTGAACAGCTGGATGGTTTCCGGTAGGACGGCGCGCAGTGTCATCGGCAACGGTTACGCAGCCCGTGGTGGAGACGCGTTGCTGGTGCCGGGATGCTGCATTGGTCGGGAAGTCAGTGACGAACGAGGGATTGGGCTGGTGGTACGGAGAACGGATGCCAAACATATTTTGTCGGGCCAGAGGTAGAAAGACTTATGTCAGGGGTCGAGATAGGGAGAAGATCGTGAATAAGTGACAAACTTGAGTCTGTGAAACCCGAGCTCACTCGCGAGTCCCACGAGTGTTCTTGGGGGACAACCAGCAACATGTCAAGCAAGTTGCAGGGTAAACCATGTCTCGTCGCGGAAGCAGCCCCTAGCAGGCACCTCTCTGGGCAAATAGGGACCTCTCCATGTTGCGGTTGTTCCATGAAAGAACGTCGCCGCCCCGTTATTTGTGTGTCATCGCGACCTGGCCAGAGTTGGGCCTAATGGAACCGGATGGGCTGGCACAACAAGGCATTGCGCTGCAGAACGAGGTTAATTACATGGCATATTGTCTATCAGCGGGGGATAGGAATGGGTAGCCCGGCAATAATACAGACTGTAAACATTCATGCGGCCTCTGTAAATGGGCAGTTTGTCGATGGGATGGGCACTTTTTTTTTTCTCTTTCCACTGAACAGAATCTGGATCTTGTCCTCGACCTGGACCCTTCTTTTTCCCATCCTCCCTCTGCTCATTTTCCGCCAGTCTTCCCTTATGCTTTGCGCTTTCTTCCGGTGCACGGAAACCAGATGAAACCGAAGACTTTCCAGCTCGCATGGTCAGGTAAGGTATCCATCCGTACCTAGTCTGTAGACAGGTTGATCACAGTGGTCATAATCCACCATATCCTCGAACCCAATTGCCCTACCCTGCCTGACCTGTCAATTTTTCTTGCATTCACCATTTCCAACCCCAGTGCCTCTGACCATTTTTGTGCTGTTACGCGATACTTAACCTTGGGGTCTATATTCACCTTGCAAGGGTTGAATTACATATTAGCAAGGTACCTTTACAATGGTTGTAGAAGAAGAGTCACAATGCCATCTTGGTATCCTAAGCGCAACCCCGATAGGTAGGTAGAGCACCTGAGTAAAGGTACTCCCTAAGGTGCGAAGTACGTACTTCACTCCAGCCGGCTCGCTCTGGGATTGGGCCGGCCTGACTTCACTGTCAAGCTCCCAGGTGCCCCCTCTCCCAAAAAAGAAAGGGGCCCCGCAGAAAACCACACCCGCCGCCTTACAACCCACCTGCACCTCCAACTCCCGTCACAAGTCGCACCTGCATCCCACTTCCGTCTATCTACCTCACCTCCAACCGACCTCCTCCCCGACTCCTTTCGTCCACCGATCTTTTTTCTTTTTTTCGTCTTGTTCACATCGCCTACCTCTATTGAGAAGAACAAAATCACCTTTACCAAGCGCGGGATCAACCAACAAGATGAACCCTCTTCAGAAGAACAAGGTCGACGTCTCGGTACGTTCAATCCAGCCACTTGCTACCCAATGCCCCACCTTGAGAACCAAGCCCGCGATGGCATCACGGCTTCCATGACCGACCAATTCTCATTGCGTTCTTTGACGAATCTGGTACTGATCCTTCTCTTTACAGTCCCTTTCCCCTGAGGAACAGCGTCTCTTCCGCCTTTACGGCAAGCTCCCCTCTCGCTCCGACCATTTCGCCAAGCACTTGAAGGACCGCAAGTACTTCGATTCTGGCGACTACGCCATGTCAAAGGCGGGCAAGGGTGACAGCGTCGATACTGGCGCTGTCGGATCCCAGCACCCCGTTCCCGAGAACATCCCCCATCTCTCGAGCCCCGTCAACAACTCCTCATCCTCCCTTAATGGCAACAAGCACCACGGCAGCATCGCCGCCGGTGCCCACGCCGGCAGCCCTGTCAAGGAGGCGAGCTTCCTCAACAGAGAGACCAGCGCTGAAGAGGCCGAGCTTAAGGACCAGGAAAACACCTCTCCAGTCGACGGAGCCGCAAAGACCGAGGCTATCCCTATCCGGAGATGAGGCCCTGCAGGACCTTTTCGTCTATACTCTCTCCCTTGTCCCAAGTTTCGTAAAGGTGTTGTCGACACTACACGACGGCAAATTGGGTTGTTTCACGGGGCCAAATTTCTACTACGATGTTATGATGCTGTGTTGATGTTTTCACGGGTCTCTTAGGCGTTGGAATGGGGTTGGGAACCAAGTACAAATGGTTGTTGAATGGACTGGGACGGTTGTCTCTAAGTTTGTCTGCTGTGGAAGGACTTGCGGATTACGACGCTTTCAAGGTCGCGCTACTGGATATCATGTCCGCGATGTACGGCACTATTGTGAAGACTGAAGCTTGTCCGTACATGGTTTTTTTTAGGACTGAAGGAGGAAGATGAACGAAGAACGACAGGCATATGGCGGCAACTAAATCGAAACCCCCTTCGTCTTGTCCGTATGCGCGCATGGCAGCGTTTGCCTTGTCCCTCAAGCCCCCCACTCTGGAGGCGGAGTTTGAGTGCGCAAATGCGATTCTTACGAGTGACCACCTTGTCTGTCCTCGTGGGTGCTCACATGCTCCTCTGCCGACCATCCAACTCTCCTCTATAGTCCCATAGAGGCCATCTACCTGCTGCATAGCTTAGAGTTGTTAGCACAGCTCGATCCGAGCAAGTCACAAAGATGCCCACAGCTTTTAATGTCAAAATGAAAATGTTGCGGGAACCCAATCTATTGATGAGCAATGAGACACTTCTTTTGATGCCATACGCCGTTCCGTATCCCAGTAACCTCCCTCCCAGTGGACAATCTCTATAGGTGCCCTTGTTCACAGATCCAGACCCTTGATCGCCATATCCTTGGCGCCTTCGAATGTCTTGTTTCCTCCAATGAAGCCCGCAGCGTGGACGAAGACACAGCCGGGGATGCCAGAGATGCCGTCCAGTTCCGCATCTCTGAATCCGCGCCACGCCTCGGGCAAGGGCTTGCGGCTCTCGAAAGAGTCCTTGGTGACGGGCACCGCCTGCACACGCCACTTGGCATCGGGAGTCGGCTTCTCGGGGTACAGGACGTAAACCACCGAGGGGTTACCTCCCTCGAGGGAGTAGAGGTGGTCCTTCCAGGGTGCGCTCTGGCCCTCGAGGACGAGCACGCGGCCCTGGGGGTCGTACTGGGTGCGCTTCTCGAAGGCGGCCTGCACGACGGCGCGGGCGGGCAGCCATGCCTTGGTGTAGTAGTCCAGGTCGGCGTCAAATTCCTCGCCGATGCGGCGGCTGGCCTTGACGAAACGCTCGTCCTCGAGCTTCTGGGCCTCGACGGGGTCAGAGGGGACCGGGTCGTTCCAGTTGGGGTTCAGGCGGCCGACGACAGAGCCAAGAGTGAAGGCGCCCTCGCTGAAGCGCTTCTCGAGACCCGCGGCGGCGACGGCCTTGGGGTCGTAGACGGAGATGCCATTGTCGTGGGCGTCTAGGGCCTCGACGAAGCTCTCGTACAACTTGTTCCACAGCAGCTCGACTTCGGCGCTGTCCTCGGCGACGGGGGTCTCGGCGCCCTCGCTGAGCTTCTGGGCGATGATGGCCTTGCCAAAGTGCATAAAGACGAGACCGGCGCTGGAGAGCTTGGTGTTCTTGCCGGGGAAGGTGGTGGCGAAGCCACGCTGGTGGTGGTCGTAGCGCTTCTTGCCGTCGTCGTACTCGCCGCCGACGTCGACGACGGTGTGGCAGGTCTCGAGAAGCTTGGGATCGCGGGTGCGGATCAGCTGGGAGTCGTGGTAGGTGGGCAGCTTGCGCAGCATGTGCACAGCGAGGGCCTCATCGGCGTGGAAGTGGCCATTGTGGGTGCCGATGGTGACGGGTGACATCTTGAGTCTCTTTGCTGCGTTTTCGGCCATTCGTAGAGGTTTGAAGAAACGGAACATACAATTGATGGACGGAAACGAATAATGACGAAGTTTTAGAATTAAAAAAGCGTTTGTGGGAACTGCAGTTCAATGATTTTCAACAAGTCTCTCTCTCACTGGTGAAGGAAGAATTGGAGAGTTTGAGATGTGATAGCCACACCCCGCTTAAACACACACACCCCCCACACCCTCTCACTTCGGAAGGTCGCTTATCTGAACTCCCTGCGTGGCTCTATCCTTGACGCTTTTCCCAAGCTCTCACTGGAGAGAAGTGGCCAGGAACGTGCATCGCAGCCTCGTCGTCGCCCTGCATCCGCGCGCCCGTGGAAACTCCATACTCAAGCAACAGTCAGCCGTAAATGTCATCAATACCAACCCCAAATCTGTCCCATCGTCAATGGTAGAAGTCATTCGCCATCCATCATCTACGGCCGAATCCCATTTCTTCAATCGATTGATACAGCCCTCCAAACTACGATTAACTAGCTTCCCTCTGCGACTAACGAAAACTCTCCCGTGTCGTCCGCACCGATGCCATCCGCGATGAGCGACGCCAACGGCACCGTCGCGACCCGCGACGTCAAAGCCGAAGGTCAAGAGACCGAAGATGAGGAGAATGGAGAGGGAAAGGCGACATACAAGTCATGGAAGAAAAAGTATCGCAAGATGCGCATCACCTTTGATCAGAAGATGCACGACTGCGAGGAATTGCATCGCCAAGAGTCCCTGGCGCTTGCCACTGCGAAGCGCATCGCCATCGAGAATGAGTAAGTATCTTCTTGGAATCAATCTGCAGTCCCGTGCCAGCGTAGGTTGTTGCCGAGTCGTTTCTAATCCTCGGCCACAGTCGTATACTCGATCTGCTGCTCGACATGAACTCCTCGGCCCAGCTGCCCTTTGACAAGCGCTTCGATATCTCACAAGACCCGCCCGAAGACACGTCGTTCCCACCTCTTGACGTCGACAAGTCTGGAAAGAAGCCCGATGAACCTACCAAGTCGTTGGACACACTTCTCAAGGAGGTACCGCATTATACCTACTCCCAAGCAAAGGAGCAGGACCCCACTGTCGTGGCCGACATGGAACCGTTCTCCGGCGAGCCTCACCCTCCTTCGTTCCTGACGGCCGACGACATTGACGACTACATCCACGACGTGGACCGACGTATCGACCCCGATAACCTCCTCCCGACGCTGGCTCCAGTCGCCCGCAGCAACGCTCCTCTTCCGGAGACCAACCCGCACGCCCTTTCCCAG